CCAGCAGATCATAGCACTCTGGGTCTAATCCCTCCTACTGAATTTTTGTTTAACATTACAGAAAGGTAAGAAGCCCTTTGTTTTCTGTGTCCCAGGCTCAAATCTAGCAGCTGTCAAAGAAATAGTTTCCTTTGGATATTGGAAAGACTAAACTGATAGAGTAAACACTGAAATATGGTAAACAAGGAACCCCACAATCAGTTTTAATCACTTGGCAGAATAAAGATTGAATGCAAAACTGGTATCTCATTTTTTTCCTTTCAGGTCTCCTCTCTTAGCCACCATGCTGCACTTAGACCCAAGTTTCCTGTATTATGTGTATAAGATCATTAACTTGCCTTTCCACTCTTCTAAAATGCACCTAGACACTTTTACCATGTTTTTCAATAATGAGTTCCTCTCAGTGATTATTGAGAGCTGACACAATAGGTAAAGACACTTTCCAAAAGGGTACTGACAGCCTATTTGAATGCATCTTTGGTGAGTGTTCCCAGCTCTTCTCTAATGTGCTTGTGGCTCCTCTACCCTCCCTGTCATTGTACATCATTTATTTTTCCACTTACATAAACTAAACATGTTCGCCAGTTTATTCTCTCAGACAGCTATTGAATTTCAGATTTGGAAGATCAAAACTGAATAGTTTTAAGTTGCTCATTTTTCAAACGTGAACAACATGGTCACTCACAGTACATACTGTGATAGCCTTATGGCATACTAAACTTCCTTTATCTTTTATGTTCAGTCATGTATTTCTCTTCCAGTTTCCCCCTACACACGCACCAGAGAAAACAGGAACAATTTTTATGCCCAAAAACCTTTCCCCCAGTATTAGTTTGATGTATATAGCCACACTGTCATTGCTCCCCTCCTGCACTCTCCATGAGTAAGCTACTTTTCTTTCAACTATCCATATTGATTAGGATGCACATTAATAGTTCCCCTGAACAGTACGTATTAAAGATTTCTATTAATTGTTCCTAACAATTCTATTTCATGGTGTTTCTCTACATTACATGGCTTCTGAGAATCACTTATGAGTCATTTAAATTATCTAAAGTCTGTCAACTTCTAGTCGGTAATGCATTTCAGTACCAGTGTTAATTACATGTGAATCTGTCTCAATCCAGGTTAAAATCCGCGCTTCCAAAGATAGAGACAAGAGCCTGCTAAAGAGGTAACTCAGGCCATAGTGTCCTCATTATCTCTGGAAAACATCCTGCTATTTGTGAAGCTTGATAGAATTACCTTTTTCTCTTAACTGTTTAGCTAAATCCTTTTATACCTCACTGGAGGATGTTCTGTCCTGAAAAGAACCACAATATACTTTTTCCTTCTTGCCTCTACCTTATTCTCTGCCAGTTTATCCGATGTTTAGAATCTGTTAGAATACACAGAGCACTGAAATTGCCTGGGTGACAAACAGGGTGATTATTATACATCTGTCGCCTAATTGCAATTCTTTAATCATTACTATGTATAGTGTTTAGTGTAAGGAAACAGGAAATAGGGCAGGATTACTATTAGAGAAAGAAAAAAATGAGAATAAGATTACTGATTTTAAATGTATAAATTACTATTACAAACATTGTACAAAATTTTTGGTTAGATACACTCAAATTTACAGGATCAGAAAACAGTGGAAATGTATGACAGCAGTCAGGATTTTCCATGAGTAAATTTAGAAAAAAACAGCAGTAATGAATCTTCCTAGACTGAAATAAGATGCTGTGAACATATTTTACATCTTATTCATATTAAAATAGTAATGGGAGTTACATTCTTAAGTCCTTCAACTATTCATGCAGCTCCCAAACCCTCTTGAATTTGTTGTCAACTTAGGTAAGACTTCTGCTTAAATATTTAATCTTCCTACATTTATTTACATTTATACATCTATCTTTTTTCCTTTACATGAATTTGTAACTTCCTATCTGTAAGGCATTTTTTTTAAAATTTACCCACTTTAATGCATGATTAAGTAAAATCCCTATTACCTTTAACAGTGAAATCCTCCTGTCTGAGGTACGTTCCTTGAAAATTTGTTGATTTTCCAGCTAGTTTCCAGAGATCGACAGTATCATGTCACCAGGTCTGAATGAAGTCTAATAGTGGAGCATCTAATGAGAGGGCCACACAGAACACTCAGATGTTTTTTAAATTTACTGTACAGCCCTTTCAAGGGGAGACAGACTGACTTAGGCTCTTCACTGTGTTGGTTTTTTTCCCCCACCCTTCTCTTTTCTTCTTACTCTGTGCCTGCTGACATCTTAAATGCCTAATTTTCAACCAACTTAGTGTTTTCAGCTACACAGGAAATTGTTAAGAAGCCTTTTTGAGATACTAAGGATTAAGAGAAATAGCTTTTGGGCAATAACTCATTAAAAAGCCAAAGAGAAGTAACCTTTTTTTAGCATTCCTTCTTCAATCTTACATCTGCTAATAAACACTCTTGAGAGAAGTGATCACATGGGGTCTTGCACTCCTAGGCTCCTCACAGACCCACCTTTCAAGTGATTATTTTAGTTGAAACACTCCAGTGCTTGAATTAATGGAGTCTAATTACGCTATTCATCACTATTTTCACAGGAAAAATCAAATATTATCTTGAAATGCCATTTTTTTTTTCAGTGGTTTGTATCACTCTAAGTAGGGGAATATAATGCTGAATAAGCCTCAGATGGTCTTTACTAAAAAGTAAAAGAATATTTTGAAAACTACTTTTAAAGTTTTCAAAAAGTAACAGCTTGTCTCTGAATCCATACATGTAGCATAATCATACAGGACAAACACAAACTAAATTAACATTGTATTTAGCTACTGTAGCAGTATTAATAAGTCCTCTACTCAACCAGTGTTGTCCAGCAGATACTCCTCTGGACTGCAAACTAAAAATGTGCCAGTCTGCCAGCATAGGCGCTGTGATTACCACATATTCTCCAGCTCTCTACTTGCTTATGTTTTACTCTGTTTACTAAACTCAGGTTTTGTTGAAGTGTTTGAAGAATTTAGTTAAGTATATGTGTCTTTTTTAAAGCCCTGATCATATTTAACTGTAAATTACAGTGGCAATTATCACAATAAGCTCTTATCTCGGATTCATTCATGATCTGCATCCTCCCAGTTATGTGCAACGTAATTTCCTGCCAGCCAAACATATGACAAATCCAAAAGTTTCCTGCAGTAAATCCATGTCAAGGCCATTTTAGGGTAGCATAATATACAGCTGTAGATTAAATTCAGACCCTTCAAGCGTGCATAAAAAAGGTAGGGAAAGGGATGGAAAACAGGATTCTGAGGCAGTGTCCTCCAGCTTCTTCTGTGGCTGCACCAAGGGAACAATCAGTTCCCTGTACAACTCAGATGTTAGGTAATAACCAGCTACTATGACATTTTACAGTCAGAAAAAAAATGCAGTTGGTGTCTGACCAAAGTTTGTCACTCCCTCACTTGTCTGCAAAAAAGCTTATTTTCAGGGAAATCAAATTCAATCCTAATTCCCCTAAAATCACATTGTGGAGACTTAGAATTCACTCCCAGAGCAATGGTAGCATCATTTTCAGAAGAGAAAAACAGGAACCAAAACCAAAACCAAACAACCCTGGGTTCTTGGACTAAATTCTGCTTGCCTTATCTCATGATGGAGAGGAATATACTTAATCCCCAGAACAGTGGATTCAGGTTGTGCTGGAGTAGCCTTTTTTTATTTATTAAAAAAATGTAAACCACGCAGATCTAGGATGGTTGCGGTGTTGGGGAGGTGCTGAGTGTAGCTGTGACAGTTTCAAGGAGACATCTGTAGAAGGCTGTTGGTGTTGCCTTTGTGCCCAAGGCTGGTGTCCTACAGCACAGCTGGCAGAAGGAGAACAGGTGAGCAGCACTCAGCTGTCGCAGACTGAACCATGTTAGAGTAACCCAGGCTGACGAGTTGCACACACGGACGCACAATATGAACCACCTGAAGGGCCGTACTGCTTTCAAACCCTTTGGCTGTCATCATAAGAAATGCAGGCGAGACATGTAAAACCTTCAAATCAAATGTACTGCCACAGAACCTCCACGTTCACGTATTTTCCTAATACTGACGATGTGAGAGACACTGCCATGTCTTCTGTAAGCCAGTGCTTTTCTGTTTCTTTTACCTTCCTATCCTAACTCCCACAACTCCATGGAACAGATAGGTAGAAAATGTACCTATTTAAACAATTTATTGTTTTGCTCTACCCTATGTACTTTTATACCTTTTTTTGGACAATATAAGAACTTGGTGAATTTGCAGCTTTTCTGCTCCATCAGAATTGATGGGATGGCCTGTGACACCACTAGCTGTCTGCCATCTTTTCCATTGCCCTTTTATTTTCTCCTTGATTTTTCTTCAGACGGAGGCCTGACCTGGTGGATATTTTTGAGCTACCACTCATATTTATGTTTACTCCAAGTCAAACTCATGTCACAAAATTTCAGCACATTTGATTTGCACTCTATGCACTCATATAATGATTAATTACAACCTTCAGCTGGGTAATTGTTCTGAAAATCAAGCAAGTGATTACTATGTATTACTCGGGTTTCTCCTATGATTTTTCTGTAAATTCACTTGTTTAAGTAATTACTCTTTACTCTGGACCTAGGCATAAAACTATCAGAAACTAAGCTTTGGTCATTGATCAGCAAAATGATATATAGAAATACCTAATTGCATTGATCTTTGAGAAATGTTGGTCACTTAAAATCACAACTATCATCCTTTCTCTTTGTGAAGAAGAGCACTGAATTTTTCTGAGTGATTACATTCTGGAGATACACTTGTCAGAGACTGTTTTAACTGTCTGTTAATTGCAGTGTAGATTTCTATGAGGCACAGATAAGGTTAAGAAATCAGTCATGAACAGTGCAATGACTACAGCACTACACAAAATGCCCTGGACATCATCGCTGGTATGCCAGCCACAGACTAACGGGATACTCAGACAACTATTCCAGCATTTAAAGTTTGCACTTACCAACCTCCACAACACTTGAGCAATTGGGGTCTGTGAAGCCTTCAGGACATTCACATGAGTAGAAGTCATCACTCAGCCCCGAGAGACAGATGCCACCATTTCTGCATGGGTTGGAGTCACACACGTCCCCTGAGGGTTAAAGGGGAAAAAAAAAAAAAAAAAAAAGATTCCTGTATAAAACTCTCTCAAAAGTTATGCAGAAGTTCCAAGTATAGCAGTGATCTTCTTCACTTGCAAAAGACAATAAAATTTAACGGAAAAAATTATTTTTGCTTTCTCTCATTTGAAGTAATTCAGGATATACACTTGTAAATGAATTTACCCAGGATTTTACCTGTCCTGGTTCCCTTCAACATAAAGCTGAATGGTGGTTTCCATTCAGGCTATTGGCTTATCACCTGCTTTGTAGAAAAGAACTGTGGCTGTGGTTACATCATCATGTGCACCAGAGTTATGCACTCTTAAATCACTCAGCAGCACAGATTTGGACCAGAACAGGCATTGGCACACAGCTGTATTTCTGCTAAACACGAAAGCATGGCATTCGGACCAGCAGAGTGCTTCTACGTTGGCTTTATGTCAGTCACATGAAGATCAAACATACAATCTGACAGTACAGACTAAAGGCATCAAAGCCTTTTCAGCAACTTAATTCTAACGCTAAGTTTTAGCCCTGTCAATGATTTTTGATATGGAGCCCTATGACCAGAGCTGTTCTATGTTCCTTCTGTGTTCCCAGAGAGGCTTTCACTAGGACTTGTGACCCAACTCCACGGCAGGAGTGGTGGCTAAAGGACTTGAGGAGTCACAGTCCCTCATTGCTCCTCGACAGGCCCCTCCAAGTTCCCAAGGAACTTTGTGAAATTCTCTCATAATTCATTTTGATTGCAGAATCAGAACAAATCAGTTCGCTTCAAAACGATGCTGTGCTATGAACCAGCTTCAAAGCTCCCTGGGACACGGGGCAAGCACTGGCACACCTGCCTAAATAATGCTAAGCAAGCAGATTTTGCTTATCCTTCAATTCATTTTCAGTGAAGACACTCCATTCCATCAATCAGTGTCGAGGTGATCAACATCTGTAATATGTAATATCTGAACGATACTCCACAGGGCTGCTTCATATGGTCAGAACTTGAACGTGTCTCCAGTATTACCAGAGTTTACAACACATTATTGTGATTTCCTATCTAGTATTATTTGAAACGGCCATCAGGAAATGTAAAAGTGACAACATAGTGTCTCTTCATTTCTTGCAACTCCTCAGTTTTAACACCCTGAAGAATTCCACCCTGTCACACTTCTACAAATATATGAAAATATAAGACTGCATACTGTCCCCAACGGGGTATACTGGAAGCAGTCCTAAAGATTGGTCGGCTTCAACTTAATATTTTTTTCTCATATAATTAAATGTATATTTAGATGTATTCTATCTCAAGCTTCATAAGACAGATGTGTACTCTCTACTTTCTAGTACTCTTTTTAGAAATACTAACAATTTGTGCAGTAGTTTTGTTTTTTTGTTTTTTTTTTTTCAAATGCAACTTAAAGCAACATCTAAAGATAGATGTTTATTAACAACCAAGTACATTATTTTGAATGCTTTTTAAAAATAAAAAGTTGCCAGCCTTTTACCCTTTACTTGTACAGATCTATAGAAATAGCTTGTTTATGTCAGTAGTACTGACATTGTAATACATTTTGGACTACAGTGGTGGTAAGGGAACTGAAAATTTTTTATCACCTTTCTGGCAGACAGACGACAGATTAGTGACTGGAGTGAGAATTCAAGCCTAACAATCACTTAAGAAATTTACCCGATGTACAAAACTGCCTTAATGAATTCTGTGCATCAGCTGCAAAAAACTAGTTGTGGGTTAGTTTGTTGGTTTAATTTTAATTTTATTTTATTCTGTCAGCTTTAAGCTGCTTCATGACAGAGAACTGTCATGTGTCTACATACTTCATATTGTTTTGTCTTGAATATTGTCCAGGTGACAGAGAACATCTAACTGAAAAGACTCAATGACGTAAGACATTATCTATCTAATGACTAGACAGTATCTGTCTTTCTAACTGTATCTAAATAGGTCAAGACTTCTAATTTCCAGTGCTTGCTCCATTACTGAGGTAGCAAAGTCTGCTGGTTTTTATTTCACAGGGCTTCAGCATTTGGTTGTGAAAGAACTGCTATTAACTGAATGCTCTGACAAATGTATTCCCATAGCTTTAATTAAATTAATAAATTAAATAGCACCTGGAGCAGGAACATTTATTATGCAAATCTGTATAAATATTCTGATTAAAATGAGAGGGCACATTTTTACTATGTCTTTCCTCATTTGGTATTCTGGTTTCAATTACGCAATACAAGGAAGAAAAAGAAAGTAAAAAGACAAAATACTGTTTCCTTTTGGAAGTTTATATTGACTGACCAGCAGAACACATCCCCAGTTTTCCATTTTATTTCCAGAAACTGAAATCTCCTCCTATGACCAAAGTGAGCATACCTACCTGTGTAGTTTTCATTTGTATGAAAATCTGTGTTGGCTTTTTCAGTCTGAAGTGACCAACCCAGCCTACAATTTGGGACTCATAAAGCAGATGGTGTCCTCTAACAACAGAAATTTATTTCCATGTTGAGGAAATAGCTGCACTAAGTCTCTTTTGACCCACTACCTTAACCCAAATTCTACTGTCGGTCACTGGCATAAAATTTTAATTGTCATTATATCACATCAAAGAAATAAATTGAGTACAGCACATCTCTAAAGAAAATGCAGGGGGGGAAACAACAAACAAACAAACAAACAAAAACAACAAAAAAGACAAAAAGCTCCAACGAAAAATTAGTGACTCTGTCTCATTCATGGAATGTCAAAGAGTGCTAAAACAGGAAAATCTATACTTTGAACAACAATGGTTAAAATAAAACCATAGTATGATGTCAAATACGATGCAAAAAAAAAAAAGAGTAACTGCACAGACACAAGCATGCAACAGTTCTACTTAAGACTAGATACCAGGCTGTGCAAATCAGCACACTTAATTAGTAAAATTCACTTAAAATATGAGCACCTTTATTTGTGATTTAAGTGTCTGTGAAATTGCGCAGAACAAAATAAATAGCACCTTTGAATCAACAATATTCCCCTCGATTTACATTTTGTGCCTCTTGACAGGCCATTCATGTTGAAAAATTGAAATCTAATTTGTTATACATTCTACTGAGTTTGATGAACAGAATTTAATTTTAAAGGCTCTGTTCTCATTAAGAAAAGCTCATATGGATGCACTTTGTCTTAACACAACTGGTTAAGGCGTTTGTTACCATTAAAGTACTATGTTGCCTACGGCACAACTTTTAACACAACAGTAGTGTTAGAATTAAACCTTAAGAGTCATGGTGAGTGGAAGAGTAAGATAAACCCAAAGGAATAATTATATCCTCTACAGTAACTCTTACAGAACTGTGCTCTGTGCTGCTGACTTTCCATGCTGATAGGTAATACGTGTTTGTGTGAGAGCCTGTACTATTTGACACATTTCTGTAAATTAAACAAACACTCTAAGAGGAAGTCCATTATTTAAAAAAAAAAAAAACCAAAAAAACAACACCAAAAGACAATTAATATTGTACTTTTATAAAATATTCTGAAAGTGGTCCGTTAAGAATGCAAGTGTCAAATAAAAACAGTAATTCATGCTTTTCTTTACTATGTCTGACTAACCCTGCACTTTTCATTATGTGGTTACTCAAGCATTAAAGGATGTCTCAAGACTGTATATAAAATATGTACTACAACTATTTCTGCCTTTAACTTCATCTTTGGGAAAATATCAGACAGTAAAATACCATCAAGTGATTGAGATTTGTTGTAAGGATCTGTGAGACAGAATCAGTAAAGGATACGCTGACATTCTCCCCCCACCCCCAAACTGCCAGAACTCATGACCACTCTGCATTTACCTCTTTTAGGGGACCCTTGCTTTGAAGTAATATTATACATGTAGCTTATTTTATATATATGAAATATATACATATGCACATACATATTTCCTCCTTCTTGCACAATATCATGCATGGAAGAGTTAAGGTAGAAATGTAATTCACATCGTTTCAGATCATACTGTACTGAGGAGCAAACAAACCATTTACATGATTAGAGAATACTAAATTTGGGGAATATTTAATTCTTATTTTTCCTCACATCTTTAATTTCTTCAGAACATTCTTAAATGAAAGAAATCCTTGAGTGAAATGTCCATCCCCTCTTTGGAAAATACGGTTGTTTAAGAATAAAAAAAATGCAAGACAAAAAGAGTAAAATTTAACATACTAAAAATTAGAATATCGATTAAGAACCTTCCCTAATTTGTCAAACTCAGAAAAAGATATATAGCAAAACTCAAAAGGTGAGCTATTTGCTCTCTAGCAAGAATTGGGCTTTTTTTAAAGCCCCTGACAGCTTTTGTCCATGGTGTATAACTCAATCACTGAACCTTGATCTCTTTTATTAGAAGCACTTGGAGAGGAACTGTTCTTTAAGTCCACCATGCTCCATGACATACCTTCACAAAACCACTCTTAAACCACATCCTTTTCAACAAAGTACTGAATGTACAACTATTACTTCTTTCCACAAGGAGGTAATGGTGGGGAGGAGGGTAGAAATTGTAAATCCGCTCTTTGTCAAACTTTAGACTTTTATATAGCATACTTTTTGATCCTATAAAACCCCACAAAATGTTACGCGATTCTTGACTGAGTGCAATACTTTGCCTGACAGCAAAGGACAACCTGAAAAAAGGAACTCAACTGCTGTGTATAAATAATGCAGCACACCATGATGGTAACAGTTAGCCTATCAATCCTTGTCAGGAACAGAAATTCACAGAGTTTATGAAAACAATTTTTGTGATATGAAGGCTAAAGGAGATGCACTGTGCAAACAGAAAAGCACCATCCACAACCGCCTTCAGGCACTGCGTCGTAAAGCACTCTCTGTTGTATAAGCACACACACCAGACAGCTACCATTACTATTGCAAATCAGTCTGCATTTCACTAACATCTGTCAATGAAAATAAAATTAAAAAAAAAAAAATATTTACTCCATCTTAAAA